ACATCCCATGCTCCTTAATAGAAGGTGGAAACCACAAGGCAATTCTGCCCCCCTCCACCCCCTTCCTTACACCCCTCTTGTACAACTAGTACCCTCCCTCTCTTACTTGCACTTCATTGGCTTCCCCTTTCCCTCCTCTGCTTCAGATTCCAGCCCATTCCCCCTTTTCGTTTTCTCATAGACCAACCCCTAAGCCTCCTATACCCTCTAACACCTTTGCCAATCCCCTTCCAAATCCCTCTGACTGGGACTTAAACCATTCGGATTTAGATTGCCTCATTTCCCTACCACTGGAAATGCGATTGGCTTTCAACGCTTTCCATTCTTCTCAAGGTAAGATTCCCCATTTTATCGCTCCTCTTAATTAATTCTTCTCCCCTCTTCCTTTATCTCATTCCCAACCCCAATCCATTCTCCCCCTCTAACAGCCACTCTGTTGCAGATAATCCCTCCTAACACTTTAGCCAACATGCCCAACTCGTCGTCGTCCTCCCCTCCGCCCTCGAACCCCATCCCCTCTTCTATCCCACTTACACTGTTGATTTAGCAGTCTCCAGATGAGGACATTAACTCGGATATCTAATGGCCTATCGCAGTGGACAATCAGGAACTTGAAAGGATAGATAGAGACGAGCATACCATGGGAAACATGATCTAGACTATGAGACTAGTTTACGATGGCAACATTGCCAACATTGTTGACTCTCTCAGACACGAACATTGCCAACATTGTTGACTCTTTCAGACACGATACTGGTGCCGCTCAAGTCAGTGCCTCTTCGAAAAACCCTAAAGGCTTTAGAGAACTAGCTAATTTACATTTGATATTAATTATGATTCCCCTACTCCATCCTATAGACAAGTCCCTCTCCTTGCTTCTTTATCTTTGAGCCCTAAGAAGCGTAGATTTAGAAGGAAACAATCCGTACACCCCAACTCTCCTAAATGAAGATCCTATGTTGGAATATTAGGGGGCTTGGTAGTCATACTAAGCATAGTGAAGTTCGATCCTTCGTCTCCTCAAATCACCTAGAAATACTGGGATTTTTCGAAACTAAGCTCACGGACTCAGCTTTACTCCTAATCAAGGACACTTGGGGAAGGAGGCCCTACAGGTTGATAAAAACTCTCTGGGGGCATTTGGGTCCTGTGGAATCCTACTATTCTACAGGTTATCTCATCTTTTATTAAATACTATTTCATCAATGTTCTTTTTCGCTGAATTTTTTATGATCTATCTCTCAAGGTCTCCCTTGTCTACAACCCCAATTGTCCTTCTGCACGCCAAGCACTTTGGCCTGAGCTCACGTCGAAAAGGCTCTCTACTAACATCCCTTGGCTTCTAGGAAGTGATTTTAACATTGCGAGATGGGTTCACGAGAAGAGCTCCAGTGGTCGCATTACTGCTTCCATGAGAGCCTTCTCTAACATGATAGTGTACCCCTTCTTAATATTCCTCTCTTAAGGGCATCCTTCACTTGGTCAAACCATGTTGCCTCTCCTATTATGACTAAAATCGATGAGTTTCAGGTCTCCAACTCTTGAGAATCTAGTATTCTTGGTACTCACACTTTTGTCTTTTCTAAAATTACTTCAGATCATAAGCCTATCCTCCTGGATACTAATCCCATCCCTCGGGTTAATAGGCCTTTCAAATTTGAATTGTTTTTCCTTGATGAACCTTCTTTCTTAGAAGCCGTTGGACCTCCTTCTCGGTCGAAAGATGGGCCGCTTTCATATTATCCAAAAAATTACGGCGCTTGAAGGGCTCCATCAAACAGTGGAGTCGTAACATCCTTCACAATTTCAGGGAACAAATTCTAGAATGCACCACTCTTATTCATTCCCTAAATACCCTGGAGGAAGCTAGACCTCTTTCACACCAAGAATTAGTGGACAAGTCCTTGGCTAAACAAAATCTTCTGCAACTCTTCAAAAAGGAAGAGACTTTTAGTATCAAAGGTCAAGAATCAAGTGGCTCAAGGCAGGAGACCAACATATTGCCTTCTTATATAAAACCGCTACTGCGAGAAGAAGAGGCAATGCAATACCCAAATATCTGTAAGTAACAATACATTGTTAATAGGTTCATAGCCAGATTCTTTAAAATCTTTTCTCGGTACCGACTAGGCCTAGGCCGTCCCTAGGTGACCTCTCCTTCTCGTTATCTCTGATTATTCAATCTAGCTTGAAAGATCTTTCTCAAAGGAAGAAATTCATAAGGCCGTCCTTGACCTCGGCAAGGATAAAGCCCCTGATCATGATGGTTTCCCCATTATCATTTTCCAAGAATCTTGAGATACATTGGCATCAAATCTCCTAAATTTGTTTAATGAATTTTTTCATAGAAGTCACCTAAACTCTGCCCTTAATTGTACTTTCATCGCTTTAATCCCCAAGATAGGAGGGGTCGAAAAGTTGAGAGACTTCCACCCTATTAGCCTACTTAACTCATCCTACAAAATCATGGCTAAAGTCTTAGCCACTCGACTTCAAGCATATCTTCATTCTGTCAATTTCCCTACTCAATCCGCTTTTGTTGCTAGTAGGCAAATTCTTGACGGGGCTTTCTCTTCCCATGAAGCCTTTCACTCCAGACTCAACTGTAGGGTTTAGGGCCTTATCATTAAGCTTGACTGGGAAAAGGCCTACGACAAAGATGATTGGAACCTACGAGACGCACTTCAGTTGTTAATGGGTTTTGGCTTCAAATGGAGATCTTGGATCAAGGCTGGCATCTCCAACCCTCATTTCTCTATTCTTATCGATGGATCCCGAGTCGGATTCTTCCCGTCTCCAGAGGCTTGTGGCAAGGAGACCCGCTCTCCCCTTTCCTTTTCACCATCATTGGGGAGCTCTTTTCTAAATTTCCTTTTAGGCTCTATGATAGGGGCATCCTCCAAGGCTTCCAAATTTCCTCTAATGACCCGGTTGTTTCACACCTTTATGGCAATGACACTGATTTTTTGCAATGCCAACCCAACTCAATTGGATAACCTTTAGTTGTTCCTTAGATGCTTCGAAGCCACTTCTGGGAAGAAAGGTAATACGTCGAAAACCAAAATGATGAACGCTAGGCTTTCTGAGGCAGATACTTTGCTCATCATCTTGGTTGTGGCACTGACTCTCTTCCTTCAACATATTTGGGTCTCTCTCTCTGATTTGGAAAACCAAGGAAGCATCTCCAGCACAATATTTTAGAAAATTTTACTTGGAAATTTGTCATTTGGAAGAGCAGATACTTCTCCCTTGGGGGCAGAATCACTCTAATTAAAGCTACCCTTGCTATCATTCCCATCTACCAAATTCCCTCCTTTGTGGCACAATATCTCGAGAAACTTATGAGGAATTTGCTTTGGAGCGGCACCACAGATGGCTATAAATTTCATTTGGTCTCATGGGAGAAGATTTGCACATGTAAGAAGTGCGATGGTTTAGGTATTAAGAGGCTCAAAACCATGAACTCTGCCCCTTGGGGAAATGGTGGAGGAGATTCACCTTCCCCCATACCCTCCTCTAAAAGGACATTATCCGTGCAAAATATGGCCTAGAGGACAATGGGTGGTTGCCATGTACCCTCTATTTAGAGCTTCCGGGGCTTGGAAGTCCATTTCCTCCACCAAATGTGCCTTCAAGGCCTTCACAAGATTAAAGTTAGGCAATAGCCTTAGAACTAGATTTTGGAAAGACCTCTGGGTTGGATCTCAAACTCTAGACCTCCTCTTCCCTACCCTCTTCCTTTGTCGTCGACCAAGATGCCCTTATATAGCTCATTGTGGTTCGCTCTGTTTCTTCTTTGTTTTGGACCCCGATATTCAGAAGGAATCTCATGACACTGAATTATCCTCTCTAAACTCCCTCTTGCAACCCTTGACCCCTATCTTCTCTCTATTCACTAGGTAAACTCTCTTGTTTGGTCTCCCAATCCCTTGTTTTACTCCTCTCTCCTTCTTAACCTCAATCTTCCACCTTACTTAATAAAGTGTGGACCTTCCCTATTCCTCATAAAGTCCAGGCCTTTCTGTGGGTTCTGCTCTAGGGCAAAGTGTTAGACCACCTTCAGAGACGATGAATTTCCCTCCCCAACCATTGTATTCTAGGCCACCAGGAAGAAGAGTCCATTCCCCATCTCTTTATCCATTTCCATGTGGTCTTTTTTAAAACTCTTAGGTCTCCAATGGGTAACCCCTCAATCTGTAATGGACCTTTTCTTGGTCTTCGCCTCCCTTCCTTTCCCTAAGAATGGTAGAAAACTTTGGCATATTGTTATCGCGGCCCTTTCTTGTTCAGTTTGGTTGGAAAGAAATGCTAGAACCTTTCAAGGAATTGCTAGACTTTTGTCATCTTTCTTGGATTCAGTCGTCTCCCTTGTTTCCTTCTGCACTAGCAACCTCCCTACATTTTCCCACATTCTCATTTCTCAACTCCATGACAGTTGGGTTAGTCTACTATCTTTACCTCTTCGTCCTCCTCGATTAGAAGCTTGTGGCATCCCCCACCTCGAGCTTCTTTCAGTATTTTCCTCTGTTCTCGGGGCCACTTGGAATTTCAGACTCCAACCCAACAAAGACTCTCGCTTTACTCGAAGGTCTTAAGAAGATTTGCTACACTCATTTCCATTTCTTGACAGTACAAGTGGAGTGTGTGACCCAAGAACTGTCATTTCTTGGGCTGCTAATTTAGTACAACCTCCTTGGCTGTTCGCGTCCATTTTTTAACTCATCACTATCATTTGCAGAGATCTACCGCCAGTGACCTTCACACTCATCCTTAGACGTGCCAACTCTGTGGCGGACGACCTTGCTAAGGGAGGCGCTTGAAGCAACTTACCCTCTCTTGAGTTCTTGGTACAGGTATGCTAAATTTTCCTCTCAAGTCCCCTCTCTCTCTCTCTCTCTCTCTCTCTCTCTCTCTCTCTTAGACTATTATCTCTTTTTGTGCCCTTTTATTTCTCTCTTCTTCTAACCCCCTTGTCACCCTCTCTCCCAATCTCCTCTCACCTTAGACTTCTCATCCTTGCGCCTCCATTTGCTTCTCCCCTGCCACTGTAAAAAAAAAAGTGAGGAAAAGGAAAGAAAAACAACAAGAAGAACGAAAAAGAGAACTCGAAAAAAAAAATGTAGAGAAAAAGAAAAAACAAAAAAAAAGAGAAAAAGATATATATATTAATCACTGACGGGTTGACCTTAAGCCCTTCTACTTCTTTCTTCTTTCCCCCTAAGGTAACATCTTCTTCTAGTCTCTCTCCCCCCCATTTCTTCTCTTATCCATCTCTTTTCAAGGCTTATTTCCTCTTCTGGCCCACCCCACTCTCTTCTCCTTTTCTCTCCCATCTCTTTCTCTCATCTTCAACTAGCTCGTAAGGGAGAACTACCGCAGTACGAGGGATAGATGATGCCTCAGCTCCTTCCCCTCAACATCTCTCAGCTTGGTAGTTCGTGACTGCACAGTTTGATAGGCTGGAGGCATTCCATCTCCTGAGGACCAATTGTGGACCGTGCAATCTCCTTCCCACCCAACTGGTCACACCTTCTACCCCTTTCTCTCCCGGACCTGAAGCATGTACTCACTCGATTTCGAACAGCCGAATGCTTTCCACCTCCTGAAGAAAAATCGAGGACCCATCCTCTTGCATATTACCTTCTTTAGTCCCTAAGCCCCTTCTCCATAGTTATCTTCTTTTTTGTATTTCCACCCTTCTCCCTTCTTCCTTATATACGAGGGTCACACCTTTTTCTCCTCTTTTTTCGAGTTCTTTCATTTTCTTATTTTCTCTTCTTCTGCCCCCTATACTTTGAGCACCCATCTTGTGGGTGTCGATTGGCCACATCTTGTGTATCTATATTCTTTTTGTTTATTTTAACCCAATTTCAAAAAAAGAAAAATCTATGCAATAGCCTGAAAATTTATTCTCATCTCTAATTATAAAATTTAAAGCTTATAAAATGGTGTAGATTAGGCAAAGTTATAAACATTTCAAAATATTGAAAATTGACGACTAAGTTAATGCATTACAAGATGCACTACTTCCCGGACTTGAAATCCATTTTTTTTTCACGTCTATATATCTCAAGGTCGAGATGATCAATTTAAGGGTTTTTCGACATCAAAACAACCTCTTCTAGTGATCAGTGAATTTTAGAGATGTGCCATAATTATTTTCAGAAATTTGGTTCTATCCAAGTCCTATTTTTCGAAAAGTAAACTACTGTGGTTAGGAGCAAAATTGAGAACAGCATTCGGCTCATTCATGAAAACAAAGTCAATTGTTCCTACCAAAACAGGAATTTCTACAACGATATTAAGCTTAGCACACCCCGGCACCAAAATAAGAAAAAAAAAATAGAAAAGGTTAGATATAAAATTATAAGCCATTGAAATAATATTAGATGACTTATAAATAAAGCAAGTATTATCATTGTTTTTCAAGAGCGGTAAAATTGAGAACCAATAAAGTTAGAAGAAATCGAACTATGAAGCCCATCAAAATTAAGATGGTGAAGTATCAGATGCCTCGGGCAAATGAATTGACAAGTAGTGTTTAAAAACTCGACGAGTCCGGCTTGAACTTGCCCAGGTTCCAAATGACACTAACTCGAATGACCCTAATCTTGACGACTGTGACCAAGTCTTTAAAAGAACAGTGATTCTGGTCGGAGTCTTGCCAATCAGACATAGGACTACACGAGCGAACTCGGACTGTCACCTTGTCTGGTTCCATGTTTCAAAACTTTGCGGGCAACAAAACATGAGACTATGGATGGTTTCATCCAATACTTAGTTGGAGAAGTATCCCAAGTCCCAGTATTATGGCCTATACCACAACTTCTAGTTAAAGTTTTTTTTAGAAGGTTATCTAGTTAAAGATATTAAATAGGACAAACATAATAAAATAAAACAACCTAACAAAGACTAAGTACTGTTAGAAATTAGAAATAAAAGAATGTTTTTGGTCATTTTTAGAACACAATAAACATTAGAAAGACTCCAAGCATTACCAGAAATAATAAAACTTATATTGCCAACGGTCAAAGGAGGCCTATTAGCAGTATACAGAAGCCCCATCTTCTCCAATTTCACAAAAATATACCCATATATTGTTAACACTTCCACATTATAGGTTCACAAAAGCCCCATATTATATCCAGTCATTGAATCATTGAAATGAATGGTTGTAATATGGGGCTCTCATTTAGTTGTGAAAGCCCACCCTTGCACATGGTTTTTGACCTCATATTCACCCTCAGACCTTGTGGCGTATTGGAATTCTAAATGAGGTGGTTGTCCAAAAACACATCAGCAGATCAATAGCTTTAATGCCAATTTTCTGCATTTAATTTGCATACAAAAGTAAAGAAGCATCATTAAATAATCTTCAACTTCAGTTTTTTCACTTGTATAGAGCCATGCCACACATCAGCACTTAGATGGTGTGCTCCACAAATTCTTTACGAACTCAGCATTTGCAAGTGCCAATAGATCCCAATCTTCCAATCTGGTCTTTAATGAGCAACCTACGTGAAAACCAGAGTTGTATAGTTACAAATATTTCTATTCTTCACTAGCTAACCTACTTCGGTTTTTTCACTTGTATAGAGCCATGTCAGACATCAGCACTTAGATGGTGTGCTCCACAAATTCTTTAGGAACTCATCATTTGCAAGTGCCTAGAGATCCCAATCTTCCAATCTGGTCTTTAATGAGCAACCAACATGAAAACCAGAGTTGTATAGTTACAATTATTTCTATTCTTCATTAGCTAACCCACTTCAGTTTTTTCACTTGTATAGAGCCATGCCAGACATCAGCACTTAGGTGGTGTTCTCTCCACAAATTCTTTAGGAACTCAGCATTTGCAAGTGCCTAGAGATCCCAATCTTCCAATCTGGTCTGTAATGAGCAACCGACATGAAAACCAGAGTTGTATAGTTACAAATATTTCTACTCTTCACTAGCTAACCTACTTCCTAATCCAAATTTAATATGTAGGAAACGAGGAAGCCTCTTGATTCGCAAACACTTCCTTTCTATACCACCTTTGAACCAGTTCAGTTGAACAGACAGGTGCCAGAGGTAAGTGTCTACGAGTGTAAATTAGACTACTAAGGGCAATATTTCTTACCACAAGTGTAAAATGGACTACTAAGGGCAATATTTCTTACTACATTGAATTCATCCTTAGAGGTCAAATATAGCAGGGGCCTTGGATATTTCTCATAAGGGAATTCCAGTTGTTGATCAATAACAAATTCACAATTCATAAATTAATTATCTCTCATCAACAAAGTGGAAGACACTGATGCATCATCAGTTTCAGAGAAGGCAGATTTACACAAACAACTACACAACCAATAAACTTTCTTCAATATCTGCAAATAGAGCATTAGAGAGAGGTGAAACCAAATGAGAGAAAAAAGGAGTGATAGAAGAAGGAAAAAAGTTGCAGTGCAGGAAAGAGAAATACAAACAGCAAAGAGCCAATTCCTTCCTTTAGTTCATAGTTTCACAACCATAAAAACAGAATTCCTATTACTTTCCAACTACTCTTATTCCTGCTTCCTGTCCATTTATAACCCACCATGTAAACATCTAAATGAAGACAGAAGAACTAAAATTCATAATATATCACCAAACAATAACCATTAACTCCACAAGAACAGAGAAATGGAAGGATAAATCAGCAAAATGTGTGCGACAGAGAGAGAGAGAGAGAGAGAGAAGAGAGATACTCGATAATAACGCCTCCGGTTTTCGATTGGTAACGAGTGATGTTATCGTGGACCCAAGCAGAGGCAGCGAGCTTCGATGAGTTGAGAGCCTTAAGCATAGAATTTGGGATACCCACCATTACTCTGATTCCTGTTCCACTGAGAGCTTCAAGAGCCAAAGGATCAGCATCATCCAATTTCACTTTGCTCACATTGTTAGCGAGGAGAACATTCACAACAATGGCAGGTGGAAGAGGATTAGAAGAAAGAGAACCCCAATTCACCCCAACTCCCCACGCCACCCTTAAACCCCATAAAACCCAAAACCACCACAACCAAACTGCCATCACCCACTTTCTCACTCTAAAACTGCTCACACAGAGACTTGGATAAAACCCAACATAACCACGACATTCCCAGTGCTCACTTTCTCACTCCAAAACTACCAATACATAGACATGGGCACAAAATCACCACCACATTGCCAGCACCCGCTTTCTCACTCTAAAACTGCTTGTAAAAGCAAATGGATGTGGGGTTTCTTTCTGGCCTTGCGAACATCGATGCTGGTAAACCCTGAGATAAATACAGAAGGTAGACCCTCCATAATATCCTTACAATAGCTCCGCAGCTACTTTCACAGAGGCACGGTCATGGAGTTCCCCTATTTCACAGAGGCACGGTCATGGAGTTCCTCTATTTACAACGCAACGTGAAGCAGGTAAGCCATGACGGACGTGACAAGGAAGAAACTCACAGAGAAAAGAGAGGTCATAGAGAGGAGAAGGGTTTATGGAGAGAGAAAAAGGTTCATTTATAGAACACCACTAAAAGACGCAGGCAGAGTTCATATATTACCCAGAGAGAGAGAGAGTTCACATAGTACCCAGAGAGAGAGAGGGGGAGGGAGCGTCTAGAGAGAGAGAGGGAGGGAGCGTCTAGAGAGAGACAGAGAGGGAGTGTCTAGAGAGAGAGAGGAGAGAGAAGGAGACTGACATTCTCCATTTGCGCCACCGTGGCATACCTATGCTATTCGTAAGGAGATTTGCGCTGGGCCCTTTCTTTCAATTGGACGGTCCAGATTTCATACATTTTATAAAAGCAGGTGCTTATAATAAAGGTTTTTCTGAGCCTGAATTTCAGATGATTCATGGAAAAAACAAAGAGCACACGCTTTTATGTCCACTTTAATAATGAAAAAGACACATTCGGTTTCAAGGAGGAGAGCTTTTACGCACCGACCCTCTACTTTTTCCCAGATTCCCTAATACCCTGGATGGAAAGGTTTTGTATTTCCCCTCCAACAAACAAGATTTATGCTTTCTCCGCCATCCAGTCATCTAATTTTGATAAAGGGAGCTATTCATTGTTTGATATTAGATCCAACGTTTCAAAATATTTTATTTTTAATTTTTTAATACAAACTGTATGAGTATGAAATTTGGTACGTATCATCTTTTCATTGGAACGCACCTAAAAAAAATATTAAAAATAATTTTTATAAAATATAATAATCAAAATAACGAAACTTTTAGAGTTATTTTGATTATTTTATTTTATTGAGAATATTTTTTTATTTTTTTTAAAAGTTCAAGCTTAATAGAAGATTGGACGTCCAAAATTTAGTGTCAAAATAATTTATAAAAAAAAATTAAAAATAAATAGAGACATGACCTTGTGATTGGGGCAATCTTAGACATCCATTCAAAATGAATGGTTGGATAAGGAAAAGTATATAAGTTTTAGAAAAGATATCTCTCTATCTTTTATTTGTAGGTTTCATATCTTGATAAACCAAATGTTTCAAAATTTATCTTTTAACCCTCACTACTTTAAACCTATTTTTTAACCTAAACAAATGTGATAAATACGTGCTCTTTCTAAACCCAATCATTTCTCTCTTCACTTATATACCCAAAACTTCTCTTTCTCTCTCTTCCCGAATCTCTCACTCGCTCTCTCCTCCTGTGTTTCTCCAAACACTTTTATCTCTCCTCCTGTAACTTCTCACCTCCATGAAGCCCTTCTTTTTTTAGAAGTTTAGGAGGATGGCTTTTAAAAAAGGCATGTCTTTTTAGTTTTGTTTGGCCTAAAAAACAAGTTTAAAATAATTTAAGGGTTAGAAGAAATAAAATCTACAATTTTATGCCTCAATATATCTTTTAAAACTTTGGATCTATTATGAAATAAAACTTAAAAATAAATGGTATAGAAATATTTTCCCTAAATTTTATGTTGTGGGAGAAATATAAAAAGCTTGCCCATGTTAACTTGACTATGTAGAATGACTTCTCCTTCCGTGTTCCACAAAAAGTATCTCTTCTGCTCCATTTTCTAATGGGAGCTCTAGAGGGGGTGGGACCTAAACCTCAACCAGGGTAGACTCGAATCGGGTCTAGATATAGGTTTAAAAATTGGACTCAACGGGTCAGATCAGGTCCAAATCTTTGACCTGAACGCTATTAGGGTCTGGATCTAGATCCATGTATCGACCTGGACCCAAATCTGAATAATATTGATATTTAAATAAGATTTACCGCATAATATTTAATTAAATTTTAAGAAATGTAACTATATTTTTTTAGTTAAATATTTAAATAATGCATGCATATATTTCATAAATTTATAAAATATATTGAAATAAATAAATATTTTGATCTTTGGTTCGGGTCCGATTGGGTTTGAGTTCAGGTCTAGGTCCAGGTCCTAAAATATATTTTTAGGGTCTGGCTCTAAGTCCAGGTCTAGCCAGTCCTGGACCCAACAAGACCTATTGCCACTCCTTGTCCTACGAAATTGAATTATACAATTTGTTTTATTTTGCACTTCAGTGTGAATGGGGTCATTGCAGCACGAATGGAACTCAATATGTCATATTGTGGTGATCCACCGCCCTAGTACCCAGAATTGAACCCATATCTAAACTATACACATTGTCTCATACCAAAAAACATACATAGATTCACTTATTAAATTTTTGAAATTTTATTGAAATACACCTAAGAGTTGAACTTTTTTTATATTTTACCCTCTTTTTCTATTGTTTACTTTCAAATAGCCATCAAATACAGATCACGAGTTGGAATAGTTGAAAAAGAGTAAAATGTTAAATTATTGATATTATAAATGTATTTTGAACTTTCGTATCATTTTCATTAGAGTAAAAGTTTTATTTAAATAATTATTAAAATACACTTTATCTATTTAATTTTGGGAAATTTATAAATAAGTATTATTTTATTTTTGATAGTTAAAACTAGTTTCATATAATTCGTCTGTTACAATGAAGTTGTATTTTTTAGAATACGAACTACATTTTTATTTTATCTATTTTCCTATATATTAGATTAAACTTAAATTTGATAGGTTTATACTTCTCTCTATACATAAAAAATATTTCAAAATAACTTAAAATAAATAAAAACTACTAAACTTCCTCTAAATATTACCATAAAGTTCTACTGTGAAGTTTGATTTTCTAAAATAAAGTGAAATGTTGTATGTAAATGCCTATTTTCTAACAACTTCATAAGTACATGATATGGTCTTTGATGACCTTGCTGGTAATTCTTTTCTTAATTGATATGACATTCTTGGAAATGTAATGATCATGATTCTCGATGGGAATGGGCCCGGCTTGTGTGGTCAGGATAGTGGAGGTGCAATGTAAAGATTTTGTTCATGCCTCGTATTTGAAATTAGGTAGTTGTATGAGTGTTGTTGATTAGACTTAAATTTTTTTTTAAATAAATAAATCAAACTTCATAACATGGCTCAAGTCATCCAATTTGACATCTAATGGGGAAAAATTTTGTATGTTAATATTCGTGCTTTATGTTTATCAATTTATTTGTTTTAGCTTTTTTATATTTAAAAAAGATATGAAAAGCACTTATGATTTCTTAGTTAAGGGAAATAAAAACTTAAATTTTAACAATGTACTCAACAAAGAAAAATGTCTTACCATTAAAAGCTACCGTTGTGCTCACCATCCATCATTGAAAACGGATGGCAGACGGCCAAGCTGCACACCGTAATATCATATACATAGGCTCTGCACCTAATACCTAATGGGAAAAGTTTCTATGCTTTCCCTACAGCATAGAAGTTCTATCCTCCCCCTACCATCCAACCGTCCAATTTTGATCAAGAGAGCCACTTACCATTTGATCTTAGATCCGACGTCTCAAAGTATTTTATTTTTATTTTTTTATACAAATTGTATGAATATGAAATTTGGTAAGTGCCATCTTTTCATTGGGGCGCATCTTTAAAAATATTTAAAATAATTTTTTTATAAAATATAATGACCAAAATACCCCTTGAAACTTTCAAGAATATTTTTGTCATTTTATTTTTTTGAATTTTATTTTTTTTATATTTTTCGCAAGTGCGACTTTAATAAAAGAATGGAAGTCCAAAATTTGGTATCAAAAAAGTTTATAAAAAAATAAAATAATAAGCGTAGAAACGTGAAGTTGTGACTGGGGCAATCTTAACCTTCCATTCAGATTGGGCGGTTGGATAAGAGGGAGTATAGAACTTTTATGCTGTAAGAGAAAAGTAGAAAGCTTCCCCATACCTAAAACCAATAGAGGGCACGTGCTCCACTTCCTTGTTGCTCAAAATGAGGATCCTCTCTCTACAAAACCACCTATTAATTGGAACTCAGCTCTTGCTTTTTTCTTTGCCAGGATGCAGCCCCATCTGGACAACAAAGAAGACCCAAGACCAGTTTTGAAAGAATAACACAGATTTTGTTTAGTGAAAGCATGGAATCCACGCCATGGTTGCTCGATTTAAGAGAGTTGGGTGGTTTTATTGGATCTCAAGCCAAGTGGGTGTTTTTCCTTTGTGAAACGAAACTGGGTCTTGGTTTTGAGGGATTTCAGGCTTCTTGATTTGGGTTTTTTTGCGTAAGAAGGTGGACACCTTATATTAACATTGCGGTAAAATTTACAGTGTTTGGTCGTTGAATTCCTTGGATCTCGTTCCAAGTGGGCGTTTTCCTTGAATCTCAGTCCAAGTGCGCGTTTCATCTCTCTAAAAATCCAGCATCTCTTTTGCTCTCCGCAAAATACAAGATTTTTTCCTTTTTGTTGAGGTGAGAAAGACACAAGGATTTTTGGTTTGTATATTTTGATTATTGGGTTCCTCTTCCGCCCTGAATCTAATCGACCTGGCCAAATTATAGGATTTTTTCTTCGCTTCTTTTCGGTGCAGTGGGAAAAACTGAAGTCTTCAGCCGAAGTGAAGCGAACTTAACAATGTTGTTTTTAATTTTCTAGAATAATATTTATTTATAAATGAATAATAAATTTATTAATATGTGAGAGAATAATATAATTAATATAAAAAAAATATTATCTAATAAAAACCAATATGTGAAGATGGATCCAACAAACTCTCTCTTTCTATAACCGAATGTGTCAATTTATGATTAAAAATTTATTTTAGTGATTAATATTCAATACACTACAAGTGCATATCACTAGTCCATAGTATATGTGTTTCACTATTGGCTAAATGGATGAATTAAAGTTTCTAAGATTAAAATTCCTAGTAACGTGGCCAAGTAATGTAATAAGCCTTTTGGCGTCCATATTCCTATCGACATAGGAGCCATTATGAGTTTCGAACACAAATTGGGCAAAACCCAAAATGAAGATCTGGAATTTTCATGTTTGCACCACCCATACGATATAACCACGTAATATTTAATATTTGTTTGGATGTGATGTAAGGATCACAACCTATGACCCTATGATATTCTTCCTCTTGTTAAGTGATATTTTCATCACTAAAAATAAACTTTTTTAGTGGATGTTCTCAAAAGGGTTTTGATAGAGAGAGAAGCGTGTGGGTGGGTGGGTGGGTCAGTGAGGGAGCTATTGTAAAGAGAATAGAAACAGGAACTTATAGAGAGAAAA